GTGTGGAACAACGTCTGAATAGCACAACGTATCTAAGTATCGTTGCTGATCAAGTTCATCCTATCATGTTGATGGCGTATCCCAATGGAGATGGCTTCTTCCAACAAGACAATGCACCATGCCACAGTGCTTGTATTGTGCAGGAGTGGTTTCAAGAACATGAGGGAGACTTTACCTTGCTTAGGTGGCCCCCACAATCACCAGATCTCAATCCAATTGAGCATTTGTGGGACGAAGTTAAAAGAGCCATCAGGCAGCTGGTTCCACAACCATCAAATCTCACAGAACTGGACAGTGCTATTCATCAGGCATGGTGTCAGATTCCTCGCATCACCTTTCAACATCTCGTGGAGTCAATGCCAAGAAGAATCGCCGCAGTATTGAAGGCAAAAGGTGGCCCAACGAAGTACTGATGGGGTGGTCATAATAATCTGGCCACTCCGTGTATATGATAATACGGAATTGTGCGTGTGTGATGAGAAGCAGCTCTTCTGACCTCCTAGGTCCCTGCTTCTTGCACTGCCTCACATTACAACTGCCTCCTGGTAACCTGGTCTAAAATCTCACCTCTCTTTGGTTGCTGAGATTGTGCCTTCAGTCATTTGAGGCAATGCAGCATGTGTCTGGAGTTGGAGGCCTGGGGCAAGGTCATCCCTCCGTGCCTCAGCCTCCTGATCCAGAAAGTTCCCATCTCTGAAGTGTGAGGGTCCAATGAGTTAACAAGCAAAAGCACTTAGAGCAGAGGCTGGCCTACAGTAAGTGATCATTCAAGGTAAGCGAAGATTACTAGTCTTTGTCCCAGAAGCAGCTGCAGCTCTTGCATAGTCTGCCGTTATTCTGTTAGGAGAGTTTGGAATTGGGAAATCAGGGGGCACATTTAAATGAAGCATTAAAACAATGTGCCCTCATCCAGTAACATCTAATTTTCTATGCAATCATCATTGAATAAAGAACCCAGTTCAGCCTTTTGCCTCGCTGCTACAGAGTGAGCAAGATGGGTCACCAGCAGCTCTACTGGAGCCATCGAGGAAATTCGGCCAGGGTTCTCCTTCCTGCCGCGTCTGCTCAAACGGCCGCGGTCTGATCTGGAAGTACGGCCTCAACATGTGCCGCCAGTATTTCCGTCAGTACACGAAGCACAAAAGGTTTAAGTTGGACTAAGTGAACTTCCATAAATGGGTCGTTCAAGACATCTACCTTATGACAGAATGCTCTCTCTTTGTCCATAAAATAATAAAACAAAACAAAAAAAACCCCAGTTCACTTTCACAAGGTCAGCAGGGTCAGTCAATTCAAAATTTCATGTTGCTTTTCTGGAACAGGCCTGCGGAGGCAGGAGGAGGTGGTGGAAAAGGCTGGCATTTCGGAGTCTAAAGACCCCGAGTCACATGGGCTGCCTGACTTTGGGGAACAAACGGGCCTTAGTTTCCTCTTCTGCGAAATAACTGGACTCTAAGGCAGAGAGGCACTCGGCTCAGTGTCCTAGTTAAAGACACAGTAAATGTTGGAAATACCAGATGTAGATAATAGAGTGACACATACATGCATAGAGACAAACAGGCCATCTCTGGAGGGATATTTCGTAAACTGTTGAGGAATAGGGTGGGAAGAGAGAATATTATTCTATACCTTGTAAATGAAAAAAAATTGAGAAACTTATTGGCTTGCCAAAAAAAATCGTTTTTATTAAGGCCATGGAGTGGGCCTTCTGGCGGGGATTAGGAAGTGGACATCTGGCCAGTGGCCCCCTGAATGCTGGCCCTGTGTCCCCCTCTGCTAGACCGCTCGCCGCCGGGGGCGGTCGCGCACCCCAGCCTCCCCTTTCACCCGCCCACCCCCGCGCCCGCAAGGGAAGCCGAAGTGGCCGCGGCCATCTTAACTGTGGGCAAGGGCGCTTCCCAGGCCGCTCGCGGGACAGCAAGAGAAGAAACTCGAGGGGGTTAACAAACCAGGTCATCAACATCAGACCCACACTGGAGCTGCTAAACGCCTTCCTCTCAAAACAAAGACGCCAGAGAACCACCATCTTTTCTGAGGGCTCCATTTCCTCGGCCCTGGGATCACCGAGTTCGCATAACCAGTTCTCGGCGTCCTAGAGCGGCCACGTCCGGAGCGAGTTCCGGTCTCCTAGGTCCCCGGAGGCCGAGTGCCCCTCCTTGGGCGGGGGCCGCGCATGCTCCGGGTGCGTGCTTCCGGCTTCCGCTTCCCCAGAGGTGCCCGCGAGGGTCCTGACGGGAGGAAGCGTGAGGTGGGAAGGCCAGGCGCGGGAGCTTCGTGGCCGTGGCCATGGCCGAGTATTTCCTCCCCAGGAGTGGGCTGTCCGCTGCCCGCGAAGAGGGCCCTGGCCCGCACGGGATGCGGCCGACCTAATGCCACCAGGCGCGCTCCCTGAGGGCCGGCCATCCCTGATCTCTGAAAGGGGAAGGGGCAGGCGGGACCGGAAGGAACAGGTGCCCACTCCCCCCACGCCGGCCCCAGGCGGCTCCGTTTCCTCCCGCCAAATCACCCTCAAATTCACAACTGCGTCTCCCCTGGCCGACCCCTCCAGTAGCTCTCAGGACTCCTGCAAACGGGTCAGAACCTGTGCCACAACACCGAGGCCCCGGGCACGCCGCCCTCCAGTTCAAACCAGATCTCGCTCTCCCTACAGGCAAGCGATCCCATTGGGCTGCAGGTAAACGGGATCGTTGGTTCTGGGACACGCCTCTAGCTCAGTGAGCCTGCGCTCTTGCGTTCTGCACTGTACACACACCTGCAAACTTAACATCCTTCCATGCCCTCCTAAGTGCTGTCTCCAGGAAATTCCTCTCGGAGCGCCTCTGCCCCATGCAGAAAACCTCAGAACGCCGCTCTGTGTCTGTACAGACCTGAGCACAGCCTGCCCAAAGGCCCACACCTGTGCCAGCAGAGCTCATACCTTAGTGTAAAATTAGTTTAGTGTCAGTTTAGAGCAGGAAGCTCATCGTGGTTCACCAATACCTCCAACACCTAGAACATCTCGATGCCTGAGGAATGCATATGTAGTATTAAGAAATGTATTGTTTTTTGGGGTTGTTGTTTTTTTTTTTTTAGTGGTTTAGTTTCTTCCCCAGGATTCCCAGACCCCAAACCAGCCCTCCTGGGTAGAGCAGGAGACCCAGCTGTGGGGTGCAGATGCTCAGGATCCCCAGGAGGGAGGAAGCCTGGAAAGATGGAAAGGTGAGAAGTGGGAGCAATGTCCCAATTCCAGCTGGAAGGGAAAATGTTTTATTGAGCGAGAAACCATCTACATGTCCCTTACTAATTTTCCTTGATCTGAATTTATGACACCCACTGGAGATTGAAATCTTTTTTTGTGGTTTTTGTTGTTGTTGTTAATCCTCGCCTGAGGATATTTTCCATTGATTTTTAGAGAGAGTGGAAGGGAGGGGGGAGAGAGACAGAGAGAAACATCAATGTGAGAAGGACACACTGATTGGTTGCCTCCCAAATGTGCCCTGACAGTGCCAGGGATCAAGCCTGCAACCAAGGTACATGCCCTTGACCAGAATCAAACCCGAGACCCTTCAGTCCAAGGGCCGGTGCTCTATCCACTGAGCCAAACTGGCCACGGCAAGACTGAAATCTTAACCTTCTCTTTCTAAGTTGACTGAGACATCCAGTGGTCCCATGGTCAGGTCACACTGAATGAATCATCCGATCTCCAGCTCCATGGCAGTGTGTGAATTAAGTTTAGGCTGGAGGCAGTTCACCTTTCTGTCTCCAGGTCCCTGGGCCCTGTAGTTGAGGGTATCTGCTCTGGTTGATCCTGAGGTAGGTGGGAATGTCCCTGACTCATGAGCCCTTCAGTTGAGCAACACAGTTTAGGGCAGGGGTGGGCAAACTTTTTGACTCGAGGGCCACAATGGGTTCTTAAACTGGACCGGAGGGCCGGAACAAAAGCATGGGTGGAGTGTTTGTGTGAACTAATATAAATTCAAAGTAAACATCATTACATAAAAGGATATGGTCTTTTTTTTTTTTTTTTTTAGTTTTATTCATTTCAAACGGGCCGGATCCGGCCCGCAGGCCGTAGTTTGCCCACGGCTGGTTTAGGGAGAGCTTCTGGGGGCTAGGCACCCATCTGAATGCTTCTGCCCTTGTGAAGCTTGGCTCTGGCACCTGAACATGAGTAGACCTTGGATAAGTAACAGGGCGAGTTTTGAATCTGCTGTTTCACAGCAGCCACTCAGGAAAACAACACATTAGAAAGGGCCAGGAGAAGGAGTCCATTCGGGAGTTGTCATGGGCCCCTGGGATCAGAAACACTGACCTGGTCTCTGAGCCCCCTCCTCATCTGTGCCCAGCCTCAACATCGGCACTAATGCAGCACTCTCATCCCTGCCCGAATGCAGTCATGCTTGGCCATCATCTTTAACCTGGTCCAGCGCACTCTCTGGAGAGGGACCCTGTGGGAACCCTAATCAGAATACGCCGGTTTATCAAGGCCAATTTGCCACATGCGTGCATGCAGGCGAGGATGTAACCTGTTTATGTTCATGTAGCATCTGTGTCACTCTTCTGTGTGAGCGTGTACATAAGGCCACTGACCAGCCAGGGGGGCTGGGCCGCTTTGTGTGGCTGCTTTTGTGGGGCTACTTTGAAGAACTACTTTGATGGCTCCTGTAGTAGCAATGGCTACTTGGTCTACAATAAAGTCTCTCCCATATGCCTGCGACTTCTCATGTCTCCGTCTAATACCTGGCGTCCGAGGAGCTGTGCTCCCACAGTTGGAGTCGAGCAGGATCAAGGAGCCGTGTGCTCCCACAGACCCTTTGCAGCTTTTATCCCTTTATCTCGTGGTCCCAGGGGAGGATCCAATAGAATATTCATCAGCTTTCCAGGTGTGCCCCCTCAGGGTGGTAGTCTCCACTGATTGGTTGGCTCCAGGGGGTCATTAGTCAAGGCAGCTGGTCCTGATGCCAGCCATGGGCAGTCACTGATTTTTGCTGCTTCGCTGGGCCTGGAGCACAGCTGAGGCCTAAAGCCATCCCCAGGGGTTAATACTTAAGGGAGTGGTCCTGCAAGGTTTTGTAGTTTTGCCGGTTGCTGGACACCTGGGGTTCTCCTGGTGACCTCTGCACCTGCCTGTGGTTCCTACTCATGCCTCTGTGTTGTTTGCTACAGATGGAGGCCAGCAGAGAAAGTTCAGGATGACAGCCAGAACCTGCTGAAGATGGGGAGTGCATTGCCACGAAGTGTGGGAAATACTGTGATTGACTTGTTGGCCAAAGGAAAAGTATCAGGTCTTCTTAGGGCAGGGTGTTTATGAAGGCGTGTGGAGCAGGGAGTAGGCAGGCAGTCACCGCCCAGTAGAAATGATGGGGTGAGTCGGTGCATTTGCTGAGATAAAGACCCCAGGAGGGGCAGGTTGGAGGAAGAAAGGGGTGGGTTCGGCCTGGGCCAGGCCAAGTCTGGTGTGCAGAGGCAGGGTGGCAGGTTAGCTCGGGAGCCGGTCTGAGCTAGAGGCAAGCAGATGTTGGGGAGGCGTGCTGCAGGCATGTGGGGAGGCGTGCTGCAGGCATGTGGGGAGGCGTGCTACAGGCATGTGGGGAGGTGTGCTACAGGCATGTGGGGAGGCGTGCTGCAGGCATGTGGGGAGGTGTGCTGCAGGCATGTGGGGAGGTGAGCTGCAGGCATGTGGGGAGGTGAGCTGCAGAAAGGGTCCTCTGACCTCTCAGATCTCACCTGCGCTCCCCCCGCTGCCCCGATCTCCTGATAGAAGGTCCCAGAGTTTCAGGCCCCAACAAGCTTCCAGCAGAGAACGGTCTCTTTACTCACTACTCCCCCCCACCCCCCAACATTTAGGAAAAGGTTGCTGGCGCCCTGACCGGTTTGGCTCAGTGGATAGAGCATCGGCCTGCGGACTGAAGGGTCCCGGGTTCGATTCCGGCCAAGGGCATGTACCTTGGTTGTGGGCACATCCCCAGTAGGGGGTGTGCAGGAGGCAGCTGATGGATGCTTCTCTCTCATCCATGTTTCTGACTCTATCTCTCTCCCTTCCTCTCTGTAAAAAATATTTTTAAAAAAGAAAAGGTTGCTGGCACCCAGGGATGGGCCACAGCCCAGTTATAGGCGGCCCAGCCTCGAAGAATGGCCCTCATCGCCTGGGTGGAGGAAGAGGCTGAACTGTGGGGGCCAGACGCCCGCGACCCGGAGTTGGGAGCGTGTCTGGCAGGAGAAGGCACGGGTGAGGTACTGGGGACGCCGACTCCTGGGCTTCCTCTGGGCCTGACCATCCTGCCGCCCCGCCTCTCCGCTCCCACCGGCTCCCACCCCTCACATCTGGTTGGCCTGAAGCTCTGTTTTGCTCCACATCCTCCCTCCTGTTTGCCTCCATCTAGCTCCTCTGCCTGTGCGTTAGTTTACTTTTTTAAAAAAATATATATATTTTATTGATTCTTTACAGAGAGGAAGGGAGAGGGATAGAGAGTTAGAAACATCGATGAGAGAGAGACATCGATCAGCCGCCTCCTGCACACTCCCTACTGGGGATATGTCCGCCACCAAGGCACATGCCCTTGACCGGAATCGAACCTGGGACCCCTGAGTCCGCAGGACGACGCTCTATCTACTGAGCCAAACCGGTCAGGGCAGTTTACTTTCTTTTTTGTTATATTTTGGAGCAGCGTCCTTCCTCTTGGCTCCTGCTGGTCTCCTCTAGTCATTCATCCTGCAGCTTGTTGCACAGTATGCCCAGCGCCTCTGAACTTGGTTCAGCCAAGCTCACGTCTCTCTGTGCGGTGCCTGCTGCCTGAGCATCTATCTCCTCATCCCCCACGATCCAGGCCGCACATCTGCTGCCGGCCCCCAGCCATTCCCTGGCCCTGAGGTAGAATGTACTGTTGCCTCCTACCCTGTTCCTGATGCTTCGCTTTCTGTTCTCTGCAGCTGAGGAAAGGTGTCCTCAGTTTCCCCGCCGTCCTGAGCTGAGGCCCACAGGCAGCTGTGGGTCCAGAAGGTGGCTGTGTGCCTCTCTCACCACGTGGGGTGTGGGATTCAGGGACCAGATAAGTAAGCCAGGGTCTGAGCTCTCCCCTTACCTCCCAGCAGGTTCCAGAACCACGGAAGAGAAAGGACTGAGAGAAGGCACCGGGGCCCTGGAGCAGATCCTTCCTACGGACGCTCGGCCCCTTGGGCTGAAGGCTCTCACACCCCCTTCTGCTGGTCTCCCTTACAGTTTGGAGCAGCCATCCACGGTGCCTCACCGGGGCCGCCCCCCACTCTTTGCCCATCCCCCTGTCCCAAGGGCAGACCAGCGTCATGGTTGCTACCTCTGTGGGAAGAGTTTCGCCTGGCGTTCCACTCTGGTGGAGCACCTGTACACCCACACGGGTGAGAAGCCCTTCTCTTGCCCTGACTGTGGCAAAGGCTTCGGCCAGGCCTCCTCTCTGAGCAAGTACCGCGCCAGCCACTGTGGGGAGCGGCCTGTGGCCGGGCCTTCACCCAGCGCTCTGCCCTCACCACCCACCTACGGGTCCACACGGGTGAGAAGCCCGACCTCTGTGCTGACTGCGGCCACGGCTTCAGCCAGAGCTCTGCCCACTACCAGCATCAGCGGGTCCACAGGGGCGAGACCCCCGTCCCTTGCCCAGACTGTGGCCGTGCTTTTGCCCACGCCTCAGACCTTCGGCGCCACGTGCGCACCCATACAGGCGAGAAGCCCTACCCGTGTCCAGACTGTGGGCGCTGCTTCCGGCAGAGCTCCGAAATGGCAGCCCACCGGCGAACCCACAGCGGGGAGCGCCCCTACCCCTGTCCTCAGTGCGGCAGGTGCTTTGGCCAGAAGTCGGCCATGGCCAAGCACCAGTGGGTCCACAGGCCTGGTGCCGGGGGACGCAAGGGCCAGGGTGCCAGTGGGTTGCCTGTGCCCCTGACCCCTGGCCAAGGGGACCTGGACCCACCTGTGGGCTTCCAGCACTACCCAGAGATCTTCCAGGAGTGTGGGTGATGGCCTCAAAGGTGAGAAGACAAAGGGTGAAGATCTAAACATTTCCTGAGGCCCAAGCTGGAATCAGTCCTGAACCTCTGGGGGTGCCAGGGAGGTCATAGAATTTCTTGTAAGAGCTGGCCATGGGGGACGAGCGCCATCATGTTTTAGGCCTCTCCAGCTTGACAGGGGCCTAGCCTACAAGCCCCCTTTGCTGAGTTAGGACTGAGGTAAGAACGCCGCTGACCTCCGCTGTGGGAAGAAAAGGCCGTTTCTCAGATGTGTTAAGAGGATTGAGGTGGAAGAGAACCTTGTTTTACCCGTTTGCCTTTTCACTGCCTAAGTTAAAAACTGGTGGCCATGCACTGAATCTGGCCTGCAGCTCTTTTATGTTTTGGCCTAGTCAGAATTTTAAAATGTTACAAATTATTGGTTAAGATTTCACACAAAATCCGGGTTTCTGACTTCTCTTGAGAAATCCAAAGATTTGGCAACTCTGCCTGAACTCCCACAAAACCACAGCTGGCAGGAGCCGGGGCAGCTGTTCCCGTTGGATGGAGCCGGACCTGTGCTCCGGTTCAGCGTGCTCGCCACCCTCATCAGCTCCCGACCAGCGTCGGCTGGCGCTCATGGCTTGCCCACGTCTCTTCCAGGCAGGCTCGCTCCACCTCGTGTTTTCCTCGCCTTTACGTGACCTGTTGGGCTCCTGTGGTAATTGGAGTTTGCAAACCGTGGTCTATGGCAGCCGTCGCCAACCTTTTGGACCTCACAGACCCCCAGTGGTCCACGGACCACCGGTTGGCGTCTGCTGGTCTATAGCATTCAAGTTTTCCTGAATCAGGGATTTACATAGAGGGCATATATGTGAAAGGGCACAGGAGAGAAGTAAAAGCAGGCTTTATTTTAGATCTTGCTTGCATTGTATCTTATGGTTCACAAAGTACTATCTTTTCCATGAACTTATTTCGCCCTCATAACTGCCTGGTCAGGAGGAGGCAGGCAGGCCTGCATCTGCCCTGCACCAGCGGCATTTCTGCCACAGCCGACCGGGAGTGCCCGCAGCCATCCCTGGGCCTCCCTGGGAGAGCCATATGGTTCAGGCCTTATCCACCCTAGACCCAACCGGGAGGGCCTCATCACGTTTTAGAACTGGAAGAGATTTGAGCATTTGCAGTTGGGGACACTGAGATTGGGGAAGGCTAAGCAACCTGACCCAGGTCACACACAGAGATGGCGGGGTCTTGGTTTACTGTTGCCTTGATCACACTGCTCCTGAATTTCTTAGTGTCTCAGCCAGGGTTCTGGGGTATCTGCCCACTCCCTCTGAGGGCACCCAGGCACTGACCAGGACAGGAGACAGCCCAGCCCTGTGTCAGTGAAGCCCAGGTATGAGATGAGTGGAAAAATGGCCATGTAGCCGACCAAGGCGAGGGAGAAACCAGCCTGAGATGAGAGTTCAGGGCAAACGGAAGCAAAGCTGATCTTCACTATGTGCCCACCATCATGAACTAGGCCAGGGACATTGGGAGAAGTAGCCAGAGGGAATTGTACTCATCTACATTCCCAAGCTCTGCACACAATCTCTGCCCGCTCACCTTGTGACTCCATTAGCCCTATTAACAATTCCTTTGTGGTCAGAGCCCAGCCTTGTCCAGGCGATGGAAGCAGCCAGCCATGGGCAGACCCTCTGGTCAGGACACCCTTCACCTGAGGAGGAATAGGGGTTATGTCCTCTGCTGGCCCGTGTGTACTTGCCTTTACTCAGCCCCGTGTCTGCCTACCTCAGGGAGAAAGATTTGTCAATCTGGAGAAACTTCTAAAGAGAAGATTTGGGGAAAAGACACTGCTCAGGTGAAGTCATGAACTGACTTGATTCCAAGTCTGAGCCCACCTGAACTTTCATGGAGGACTGGCTGGTGTGCCACCTTGTCCTAAGTGGGACATGGTGTGAGAAGGCACCTTAGTGGTAGGAGCTACCTTTGTACCAGCTTTTAATTCCCTAAAGAAGGCAGTGTGCATCTAACTCTCAGGCTGCCTGGGAAAACCCAGCCTGAAACACCATTCTCACTCAGCTCAGACTCAAAGCCCAGTTTGGACCCTAGCCTCAGCCGATTAAAGATGCCATAATTACTACTTTCTCTGAGTGCTTTGAAGTTTGCAAGGCTTGCTTAGGGCCCAAACTCCAGACCCAGCTCTTCTGCTTCCTGCCTCAGGACCCAACTTAGCACCATTAAAAGATAATCCTGTCATGAAATACTTAAGCCGCAACCTCATTCCATTCTTAGCTCCTCATTTCTTGGCACAGGTACTTCCACCAAGGGTAGGGCTCTTTCTGCTACTGCAGGCCTCTGAGGCTCAGAACCTGAAACAATTGAAGCCAAAAGAGTTTCTAGGGCTTCACTGGAGAAGTGCTTGTCTGTACCAGATATGAGCCCATCCATGTGGCCATTGTGAGAGGTGAGGCCATGACCACATGTCCCTCATTTGTCTAAGACATCTAAAATAAGGGTATTGATTTGAGTTCCAAAGACCCCTAAGCTTTTTAGGAATGGTTACGTGCATCTTTTTAGGAACAGGATGTGCAAAGCTGTGACCCAAAAAAAGCTAAAACCTGCATTAGGCCAGTATTTTTCAAAGTAAAGCCTTCCTGCCAAAGAATCACATACTGTTTCTTTAAAACGTAGCTAGCACCCTAGTTGGTTAGGCTGAGTGGACAGCATCAACCGTGGATTGAAGGGTCCCAGGTTCAATCCTGGTCAAGGGCATGTACCCTGGTCTGAGCACGCGGGAGGCAACCAATCCATGTGTCTCTCTCACGGAGGGGAGGGGAGGAGAGGGGCCCGGCCGGCCAGAGAGGCCCAGTGATGAAAGGGTGTCTGCCCTCGCTCCTCTAGGCTTTCATCCTCCTTTCCACTCTAAAAAATCAGTGGAGAAATATCCTCAGATGAGGATTAACAACAACAATAAAAAAAATGTAGCTAGCTTCCTCAGGCCCTGTTCCTAGCTATTGAATCTGAATCTTCAGGGATGAAATTTTTTTTTTTTTTGAATGAGGTCCAGACCTACTTTAATTAGCATTAGTGTTAGTATTCCAAAGAGTTTAAAAGTCTTCATTTACATTTTTTTAAAAATATATTTTATTGATTTTTTACAGAGGAAGGGAGAGAGATAGAGAGTTAGAAACATCGATCAGCTGCCTCCTGCACATCTCCTACTGGGGATGTGCCCGCAACCCAGGTACATGCCCTTGACCGGAATCGACCCTGGGACCCTTCAGTCCGCAGGCCGACGCTCTATCCACTGAGCCAAACCGGTTTTGGCCATTTACATTTTTTATTTAGCCTTAAAAATATTTGGTAAGGTACTTTATCCATATGGAAATTAAAATAGAAGTATCTAATTTAGGACTGATGGGAGCTTAGATTACCACACATCTAGAATAGATTTTTTTTTAAATATATTTTATTGATTTTTTACAGAGAGGAAGGGAGAGAGATAGAGAGTTAGAAACATCGATGAGAGAGAAACATCGATCAGCTGCCTCCTGCACACCCCCTACTGGGGATGTGCCTGCAACCCAGGTACATGCCCTTGACCGGAATCGAACCTGGGACCCTTCAGTCCGCAGGCCGACGCTCTATCCACTGAGCCAAACCGGTTTCGGCTAGAATAGATTTTTTAACCTAATAAAATTTACTATAATACAACTTGATTTATATTTTTTCTAAAAACGCTTTTTATATTTTCAATTTGGCTTTTTTTTTTTTTTAATTTAAATTCTTTGTTGTTTAAAGTATTACTCCAGGGATGGAATTCTATGCCTGCTAAACTTTGAGAACCACTGCTCTGAACGAAATGTTATTTTCTAGCTGCTCTTAGCTTTTGAAAGAGGAGGGGTTGGTCTCAGGGCCTGTGTCAAATCTTAGGCCAGGGGATGACCTGGCTGGACACAAGACCACTTCCTTTGTTCTTGCCCAAGGGGCTGTGCTGTGGCAGGTCTCTTCCTGTGTACTTCTTTTTAATTTATTGATTTTAAAGAGGGAAGGAGCACACCAGGGAATGATGATGTGGAGAAAGTGGCTGCTCACCTTGGGACACACACAGGCTCCTCACCAGCACACAGCGGTAGAGCAAGGCCAGTGGACTCCTGCCTTGGATTAGCACCCTAGTTGGGACAAGTTGGAACCGTCATCAGAGGCTTTCCTGTGCTTGGAGCCTCTCGCTGCTAGGGGTGGCAGACGGGGCTGGCTGCCGCCTCTTGAAAGCCTATTGCATAGACAGGTCTGGTGCTAGAGGAGGCTGCCTGGGAGCCAGCCAGCCACTCTTCCTCTAGGCACCAGTGAGGCTGAATTTCCACGTGGAAATGACGGTGCCTGGGCAGCTTGAAGCCCTGGACCGACTTCTGCTACATGTGGGCTTGTAGCCCATGCTGTGGGGAGTACAGGCAGTGGACCATGTCAGACCTGTGGCTGGAATTTTTGCTACTCACTCTGCAGAGCGGCTGCTCTCCCGTGTAAATTGTCTGGGTAAGCAGGTCAGAAAGTCTCATGAAGGAGACTTTTGTCGCTCACTGGTGTGAGTGCTTTGGGGATGAGCAGGGGGTATCCCGGGTCCAGCACTTCCCCATCAGTGCACTTGTAGGTGTTCATCCTAAAAGGAGGTTGTAGGGCAGACACTGGGATGGAGAGAGGCATGCAGCTGGAAGCGGTTGCTCTGGAGGGCAGAAAAGTCTCCGCTTTATTTGTCGGAAGGTGTCAGTGATTCTATTTGTAGGCCTCTGTGCAGACAATTCTCTCCAGCCTTTTACCACTTGGAATTCTCCAAATCCTGATCCCGCCTCTTTTCAGGAGAATGGAAGGTGCCATCTTTCCTCCTTACCAGTTTCTTCCCTTCATTTGTCTGGGAAGGTAGGAAACCACAAACCATGACTCCTGCCTCCCTCACATTGAGAGCATTCGGCCTTTCAGCTACCAAGAAGGCGACCCGACTAGTTCTCAGCGGCAAGAACGAGAACTGGATCCTCTTAGGTTGTCTTCCGGGGTCATTCTCCCCCTTGACTCAAGCTGCACCTCAGGCAGCGCTTCTCGGTTTCCTTTCTTTAGGAGCCTCTCCAAGAAGCGACGGGGAAGTTCTCCGCCACCGTGAAGGCCAGATGGTTCTCTCTGTCCACGTCCACTCCGACTATCACTCTCCACCCTCACCTGGGAGAAGTTCCCCCAAAGTCCTGGCCTCCCTGGGAGAAAACCCAGGAACCATGGACTGAGGCTCCCGAGGACGGAGTTAAACCCAGGCTTCGGGGAAGGAGGAGGCAGGAAGCGGGTGGCTGCAAAGAAGGGAAGCGCTGGCGGCGAGCGGGGGAGACCCGGGAGGAGGGGTGTCTGCCCTCGCTCCTCTAGGCTTTCATCCTTCAGGAAGATAAAACATAATGAAGGGAAAACGGGGGCGGGAAGAGTTCTGAAGGCAGAGGCCCAGCCGGAGGGGAGACGCCGGGCAGGTCCCGCCCACTCCTCCCGCAGGCGCTTTGGTGGGACTCGCGTTCCCCGGCGACCTTCAACGCCAAGCGGCGGGTGTAGCGGGAGAGGGCGGGGCCGCGAGAGCGCGAGCTTT